CGAAGATTTTCAGCCACTTTTGTGGCTTTTTTTGCATCAAATCGAGGTAAAAAAAAATTTCGTGGAAATTTTTTTTTCATCGAAATCTTCGATTTGGCGGTTGTTTGATACTTGGATGTTCATTGGATGCCTTTGATTGTTGATTTGGAGGTGTTAGGGTGAATTTGTGATAAGAAATCGGGGGTTTCAGAGGTCGTAAAGAAATCGAGTAGTACTTCACAGAGTCGGTAAATTATTTTTCCTTCTTGTACAATATTACTATTATACATATTTTTGGGGCAATGTCTTCTTCCCAATCTTCTAGTAATAAGGATCTGGCTTGAAAATATGCTAAATTAAAATATCCTAAAGATAGAAATTGTGTAATATGCTTGCTCTGTGGAAATACTTATATGGGTGGATAACTGGATACAGAATCTCCGACAGCTAATAGTGTTCAAGTTAATCATTAAACTAAAATACCTACTATCACATATATCACCTTCATACTTTTTTTTATGCATTAACTTATTTTTTAAATTTTTTTAGAATTTTTTTACATTTATCGACTGCATCATCGCGATGCACCCACATCCGGGCCGCATCGAGCTGCATCGGCCCCCCATTGCATCAGGGCCGTATCCCGCATTTTAAAACATTGAGCTAGATCAAAGCATGTCATTAGCTTGCCATAAAGAAAATACGTGATTGATTTGTTGATAAATACTGGAATGTTAGGGGCTAAACCAGTTGATACTCCTATGCAATGGTTTTAAAAAGCGGATTGGTGACCCGGATCGGGCACCTCAAAAACCGATCCGGATCGGCGAATCGGCGATCCAAATCGGGAATCGGCTGAATCAGTATGATTAAAGCTTCAAAAAAATCCGAAAAAATTATTAAAATTCATTATAAATGTTATTTTTTAGGAATCCAATGAGAAATGAGGGTACTACATTATTAACTTTCATTTTTTTCATCAATTTGTGAATATTGAGATGCTCTTTCCCTGTATAAACTTATGTTAACCATTAAATTTGCATCACATAAAAGAAAAATCATAGAATTATCATGGATAAAATATATAATTATACATGGACTATTATAAAGAGTAGACTAATCAATGAAAGAATGGTCATTAAAATCACGTTTTGGAGAAAAACCCTAATCCGCTAAAAAACCCCAAATTATTATAGCCTAACTAACTATAATCCAAAATTATTACAACCTAACTAATTATAATATTATATACTGAAATTATAATTATTAGTTTACATTTTATAATTATTTTATTAGATAAATAATAACAAATTTAAAATATTTTATAATATTATCTAATTTAAAATGTATTATTGACAACTGTAAGACAAATAGTACATTACATGATTTATAATGTAAAAATTAATAAATAAAATAAAAAATTTGGTTAACAATGTAAAAATTAATAAAATGCGTACAAATTTTGGAAATAACTTTTCAAGTTTTCAAAAATATATTTTTTTAGGTTTCTACAATAAATTTAGTGAAAGAGATTGTTAGTAGAAAGATGGAGATTTCAAATAGAATAAACTTTTTATTTTTTATTTTTTTATGCCTTTCATGTTATTTACAAAAATAATTATACCACTATATACAACAAAAATTAACTGCTACACAAAAAATTAACTTTTTTATTTTTTATTTTTTTTATGCCTTTTATGTTATTTACAAAAATATTTATACAATATATACAATAAAACTTACTATACAACACAAAAATGCAAATGCAACACCCAAGGGGGGATTCGACCTTGGGTCATCAAGTGAAGAAGCACATGACATAACCGCCACGCCACCTCACCACATGTGGTTATAACTTGCTGATTAAGAGAATATATTTACATTTC